GCTAGAGAAGTGCAAGTATCAAAAACTAAAGTGTGGTAAACATTGCGTGAAGAGGGGCTGTATCCGTTTCACGCCAACGTGTACAAGCCCTTCAACCTGACGATTTTCCAGCAAGAGTGCGGTTTTGTCAGTGGTTGTTGCATCAACATGACAATAATCCGGACTTTTTGAAGTGCATATTGGTGACAGACGAATCTACGTTCACGCGTAATGGGTTGAATAACTTTCGCAACACTCATGTTTGGTCAGTCGGGCACATTTTCAACAAACATTTTCGGTGAATGTTTGGGCTGGCATGGTGCGTCTGCTCGGTAGGGCGTCAGCCGATTTCATTTTCTGTTGGAGCGGTATGATTTCGGGCAGAGACGTGCTTAGCCCTTCTCGTCAACTGGAGAGTGAGTACTTTTTCCTTTGTTTTTTTTTTACTTGGTCACCCTCGTTTCACTACACATTACCTTTGTTATTTCAAGGGTAGTTGTTTTTGAAAAGGGAAACCCCAACTTTGCGGACACCCTGTATAGCCCTTATAGAATTGACTTAACAAATCTTGGGGGTGGAATATCAAACTTTTGCGTAATTGTAAATGCTCAACTTAACGTAAAACTAAATATTATTCCTTCTACTTTCAATCTGACAACGTGGACAGATACATTTTAGTTTTATTTGCATGAGGCAGTGGCGAAGCATCCATGTAACCATTGTTACCATTGGTAACAGTTGAAAATCTTAAAAATAAATATTTTATGACTAAGTACTGTGAAATAATTTCATTTATTTGTTTACCAACAGCGATATGTAATAGTAATTCAGTAAATAGCAAATTAGCCCCACGAAAATAATGCGCCCTATGGTGTCTAGGTTTTGAACGATGAAGCTGACTCGCCTCGACTTGGTTGTCGGTTCGGTTGTTACCATTTTCATTTATGGATACACTTGGTAGTCTGTCGGGGACCGTCGGAACCGGGTCGTGTCTGATCGCGGTCGCCCGAGTGCGTGGGGCGCTTTGATTTGGTTAGTAGCCGTTTTAGTTACCGGCTGTAGTATGCGTGCAATTAAACATGAATGAGTGTCTCTGCGTAGTCGATCAACTACTTGAAAAGTCATTCTCATTGTATAATTTTTAAGAAAAAAAGGAGATCATTGAAAATGGAAGACCAACGCCTATTTCAGATGATTTTAAAAAGGAATAAAAAAACGCAGTTTGATATTTTAAATTAAGTTGGTATATGGAAACTCTTGTTTATGTGGTTGTAAAAAAACAGTTTGTATTGTTGGCGATGTCTTCTGTTTTATAGAAAATAAAATGCAGCGGAGTCAACGATTTAAATAGTTTTAGGGCTCTAAAGAGGAGACATTAAATTTCTCCGTTACATGTGAGATGTGTAGCCAATTTAATTCAGTTTGGCAAAACAAGAATCGAAAGTTGTCTTAACCAAGCTTTTAGGCAGCACACTTCTAGATACCGTATGTTTTTTGGCAAAACAGGAATTACCGCCCATTTTGAAGGGGATGACTCTGACAATAGAGCAAATTACAGGGAATTGTTAAGATTCATTGCCAAAAAAGATCAAAAATTTTCCGAACATCTAGAAGCGTCGACTGTTTTTTCGGACGGCTTGGATTAGTCATAGCATAAGATGATGAGGTATATCAAGTGCCCCAGACGCTCAGTCCAGGAATGTTTACCTTAATTTAAAAATAGTTTAAATAAAATACCTAAAATAAGCAAAAACTTATATTTGGGAGGTTCAGAATATGCTTTTTTTAATAAAATTTTTCATATATGGTCTTGGTAACAGTTTAGGAGAAGTCACGCGTCGCCACTGGCATGAGGTGTTTCCAGAATTCCGGAATGGCGAGAAATGAATGTTACTTTGCGCGTAAAAAGACCACTATTTACTTTTTCGCAGCTTAATATTCCCAGCTGGTACACTGAAAATAGTGCTCAGTACGCTGTTTGACTCTTAAAGAACTTCGAAATAGCATAAGCGTGCCATTGCGATGAAAGTACACACATTTTTACTTCTACAGAGAGAACTGCATTTTTCGGTATTTTGAAGCGTCGTAATTCAAAAAAATGTTCGGGGAAACTTGATGAAAAACATCTATATAAATAGGAAAATCACCAGAGAATTATTTTCCTCTTTTTAATAGTAGTTTTTCTTTCCATATATTTTGTAACCCATCAGAAAATATATATTTATGTATATGTCTTCATATGATTCCAAATGACTATTCAAGCTTTAAAATGTATATCTAATTTTTGAGGCTACCAACTACGAGTTTGAAAAAAATCATACACAAAATTTTTCATGCATGCTGATATCTAATCTCAACGCGAGAGAGAACGATGACCAGTGCTTCTGGATCTGTACTGGGATTCCTAGTCCTAATAAATAATTCACCACCATTAACATTAACAGTGAGGGCTGGAAGCCTTCGGTTCCAGAGTATCCCAATTCCCAAACATGAAACATACGAATTACATACTGCTTTGAGCATTTTGGGATGACTAAATAAATAGTTCATCTAAAAATTGTCAAATTCGCCCAGATCGTTCATCATTAGCAATTTGTACCGTTTATATAATGTTACCGGTAATCTGTATAATTCAGGTATTCTATACAATACCTAGCCAATGTATAGAATACCTGGGGTGCCCAGGTAATGTATGAAACATTATGAATAATATTATCCATTACAAACTTTACCTAGGTAATGAATACAATTCCTAGGGATTGTATAGAGTACCTGCTGTTCCATCGACAATGTGTAAAATAAATAGATCTTGGTCTAAATTTAACAATGTTATCCGGCATACCTATAAAATGACGGGCAAATGAAACAAGCTATATTATTTGAAATCAACTTTATCAAAATTAACACTTAAAGTGCTCTTTAAAAATAAGCTTTATGAAAAGGGTAAAATCACAGTAAAATTAACGTGAAACTAAAAATTATTCTGGCTATAAGTAACATAATAATTTTCTTTGCTTACAAGTACGTACGTAATACGTATAAAAAACTTAAGAAACAAAACAATTCTTGAAAAAATATAGGCAGTGTAGGTCTACTGCTTAGTAAAAATTTTATTAGAATAAAAAAATATACTTACATGTACTTAAGAAACAAAACAATAATCTAAAAATAATAAGTAGGTTTACTGCCTGGTCAAAAAGTGAAAAAATTATTTATTTTTGCATGAAGAACTATTGTGACATTTTGAAGTGCACAAAATCTTCCTTGTTGTCGTCTTTTACATGCATTACCGGCTGCGCATTCGGTATTGTATAGAATACCTAGGCAAAGTATAAAACAAATAATATTACCTACACGTTTTAGGTATTCTATACATTACCTAGGTATCGTATAGAATACTGGATTATACAGATTGCCGGTAACATATACACTACTCGCTAGTACGTCTTATGTTTGGCGCGAAATTTTACGTTTGAATTCTGGAGGGCAAGTTATGCCTCACGAAGTTCTCAGAATATATACCTTTTGGAGACAAAATATGACTATTCCGTTGAAAGAGTAATTTGTATAACGGTAGCTAGTTTACTTACTATTGCGGATGTATATATGTTATAGAGGAGGCAAATGTACACTGAACTGTAATGATTACTAGGTGTCGATTTTGAAATTCTGTATCTCGTACACTGCTAGAGTAAGACTTTTCGGCACATAAATGTTGAGGTGTAGATACAAAAAAAAGGTACGAAAGTTATAGGGATCTTAAGAATCCATTAAAGGCTTTGATAATAATGTAGCTCCTGGACTATAAATCTCTTTGAAAGTATGGGCGCACTTTTATCTTTTAATAATAACAGCTTAGCAGCTCCCGTATAAAAACCGCACGATGTGTGAGTGTATCTGTTTCTTTTTTTCGCTGGATTCGTATTTATTTCTGGAAGCAACGAAGGCATTTTATCTGTTACGGACGATGAGGCGTCCAGAGTACTGACGCTACTTCAAAGGGATCTATTAGTCACGTGTCGTCCAACAGAAATTTATTGACTTCCCGTAGACACCAGAGGCGCTCTTCTTGTATCTCGAATGACAATATTCATATCGGTCGCGTTTCTAGTGATGCATGGTGAGGTCCAGTCAAGGACCGTTCCTTACAACCACAGGTCTATAGCTCTGCTTTCTGTTATAAGTACGGTGATGGAGAGGTGCTTAAATCTCGAGCTTCTAGATTATCTGGAACGTCACGGTTTGATTAGCGGCAGGTAGTATGGTTTCCGGCACCAGCCATTCACAGGGGACTTCCTAGCATACGTCACGCAATTGTAGAGTAATCCCATCCAGTCTTATCGTGAGGCTCATGTTATCTCGAAATCGTTCAATCAGCTTTGGCATGCTGTCCTCGTATGCAAACTTTCATTCTTTGACCTCCCATAGAACCTTTGAGGTTGGATGGCTGAGTTTAGGCCTAAGAAGTACTTTTCTCCACATGACCTCACTCTCTACAAGCGTTCAAAGGATTCTCCTAGATGAAATGAGATACCAAGGCATCTGTGCAATATATCTCGCACGAAATTAACAGAGCACTTATCACGCCTTTCCCTGAGACTTTGATGGTTACATTTTTCTTGAAATGTAGGTACTTCAGTAATCGTCGCTGGATATTTTTAAGTTTATCTATCCAAAAGCTATAGAAAGGCTGCCAAACAACTGATATCAGTTATAGTTGGCTACAGCGCCATCTATTAACCGCTAACATGTTCAAAGTAGATTGCTAATTACTGCGGAGAGGAGAAACATAGCTGAGACAAATTTTCATAGAAGACATCATGGTATCTCATTTTATATCGGATAATTGTTTAGACGCTGGAATATAGTACTAGGTTAGATGTCTTCGGGTTAAAGAAATTTTTATATTTTCTGCATAAAAATTTAATATCTTCATCACTTTTTGAATCCAGCTTCCGCATGATGCATGCGTTAATATGGAAAAAAAACTGTTACACCTAGTGACACAAGTTTGTACTTACCACGTATTCGTTTTTAGCATCTACAATATCACTTCCTTCTGCAGCAGATTTGGAACCCTGCAGTATTTCTTCTAAGTATTCTATATATTCTATGGCACTTCGAAGTATTTCTACTTTCGGTAGTCTTTGGCCTGGATTATTGCACGTTCGTTTCTTTAACATTTCAAAGGCTTCATTCACCTGAAAGGAGAGTAGGGTTTTAATATGAAACTAAATAGTTTTTAAGGCCAAATACAAGGTGTAACATGGGACTCCCCGTGGGCTCTAAGGTCCGATGACGGATTCGAAATCTAGTGAATCTAGTGTACGACAGACACGAAGGGATTTTCAAAAATGCTCTCATAGAAAGTGAAATAAATCTTGTAGGATTTTGTAGGGAGAAATTTGCATGTCATTTTTCTGTTTGTGTAACTTAGAGCGCTGAATACGAATGCGACATTTAAAAAATATTGTACAGTCGAATTAGATTTGAAAAATTAGAACTTTACATTTCTCGTCTAGTCTGGTCCTAGAGTCCAACTGATTATCATCTTGTCAACATATTTTAGATGCACGAGCCCCTTCCCACTTCAGTTGGCCCAACCATTGCAATCTTAGTTTTTTTCTTATCAAACACAAATAATAAAAATGTAGCAGCGTGTTATAGGTTTAAAATATTAACAATGAATATTTTGATAATATATAGTAGAAAACTTTATCACTCCCTAATCAAATTTGCAGCATAAAAATAACACATGTTGCAATTACAGCATATCAACCTATTTTCATTTCAATGCAAAATAAGTCTATAACGCATAGGTGGCTGTGAAAAATAAAAGCCATAACAATTGTTTTGATTAATCACAGCTGTCAGAATGCGTTTAAAATAGTTTTGGGTAGTTAAGGTTTTCAAAATGGGTAAAGGAAAGGTTATTAGTGAGAAAATTCGGTTATTGATAATTAATTTTTTTAATTCTGGGAAATCAAACTCAGAAATTGCAACTTTGTTAGACTTAGCGCGGTACAGTGTGAGATATAGAAGATATAACGTAACTGGTTCAGTTAATATTAAGCCACGATATGTGAAAAAAATTAATATCACAAATGCCGACCGAAGAGCATTAAGAAGAATAATCGTGAAAAACAGGCGTGCCAATTATTTACAATTAATTGCTCTGTGGAGTGACGCTGTTGGAAGGAGAATTTCGAGGCCCACAAACTGGGATTTAGCACTTGCAAGGTAAGATTTCTCATAAAAAAAGTGAAGTAAAAACCCTAAAGTTGCACAACTTGTTTATAGGCCAAATAAAAGCCACTATTAACTCCACTGCAAAAGAAAAATCGGCTTAGATGGGCTAAAGAACATAGACAATGGACAATGGTGTGCAATACAATGGAGTGATGAGGCCCGATTCGAAGTTTGTGTTGGTGGTAGTCGCAGTAGAGTTATTCGCAAAAAAATGAAGATCCCATGTTAACTGTCTGAAGAGAAGAGAGAAAAAAAAAACCAGCATCCATTATGGTCTGGGGCACTATGTCATCAAAATGAGTAGGAAAACTTCATTTTATTGATGGAAATGTGGACACAAACAAATATTTGGCATATTTTGGTACAAATCTTGAAGTCGGCCAACTGAAGTGGGAAGGGGCTCGTAATTAAGACTGCCGTATCATGCCGAAACTGTCCTTCGCTGAAAAATGCATCGCTTCGGGCAACGTTGGCGGCATCGCTTAAGAATTCCAAACATGAGAGGCTTTTCCTGCAAGTGATCCTACTTTTCTCAAATCTACAAGATGTTTCACGTAGAACTGCAGCCACCGATTATTTAAAAAGTTGACGTTAGACATTTGTGAAAAGTAAGGTTTATAGTAGGCGTGTTTGAAAAATACTACCATCTTGAAAATATTTCAGCCGAATTGCTCCCATCAGTTATAACAGAAATTTTCGTGACTGTCTTACGTCAAGTCATATCTAAACGTAAAGTTATTCGCTCGTTTTATTGAAGTTGACGTTAAAATGACCTTCAAGGTCAAGATTGAATCCAAGGTCACCTTCTGATAGCTGAGGAAAAATCCTACAGCTTATATTTAAACCATTTTTTCCTTAAATGCAAGTTTAGCCTTGAGGGATCATTGAGGGTTATCCTTGATTGTTGTCATGCAAGGACTTGTTTGAACGTAAAATTTTCCGCCTTTTTGATGATCCGAATCAAAAGTAGGGGGTAACATTTGAAATTTTAAAGTTGACCTTCGAATAACCTTCAAGATCAAAATCAAGGTCGAATTAAAGCTCATCGACCGATAACTGAGAACAAGTCCTACAACAAGCATTTTCGCGTGGAATGTGTTCTCAAGGAGTTATCGTCGTTCCGGTACTTTTGCCACACTCTGTATATACTGTTCTACAAACCTTCCTTAGCCTCCGCCTCTCCCTCAACGTAGCGGCTTTCCGCCTATCCACAGCAACGGTTTTCTTCTTGCACGCCTTGCACGCCCATGCCAGACACCTACGTGGTTCCTCCTTTCCGCCCATGCATCCGCTGGCGGGTTCCAGGACGTGGTGCTCGCTGGAGGAAGGGTCATGGTCGGTGGACATTGGATCGACTGGAGACTCGTCGTCGTCAATGCCACTGCAACTATCTTCGGCGCTTGCGTATCCCCGATCTACTCTTTGGCTGCAGAAGAAACAGAGGTCAAGAATGGCTGGAGCATTTTCCAAACGAAGAAGTAGCTTTTGTCTTGACATTTATTTTATGGATGTTTTTCCTCGTTTTACATGTTCAACAGGATAGTTGCTAAGCAAATAATAAACCCTTGATCTCCAAGTGAATCTAGTGAAGGAGGATGGATTGCCAGCTAAGACAAACAAAAAAGTACTTTCTCATACCTTGACTTAGCATCATCTTCAGAAGACCTGCTGCTAGTAGACATGCTATCCGTCGCATCTCGTCTTCTATCCTCTAGGTTTCTACGGAAATATTCCACGCCCGCGCTTTTGTAGAAGCCCCTAGACTTCGCGTAGTATCCGAAGTCTCTATTAGCGATGTTTTGGTTTGACTCAAAGTCCCTTTGATCGCTGAATACTTGTGTTTGAGATGCGTAAGGACTGATCCTGTCCTTCTGTTGTTGGTAAAGGTGGTTGTAGGTTGAGTAGGGGTGGTAGTTCATGATGATTTTGTCTGGAACAATGCAGAAGAAAACTGAGAGCCGAAATAATATTAAAAATGATAATACTAATAATAATAATTTATTTGCCAAAAAGTACAATTCCCTGTATCGATGCATGAACAAGCATAACAATGACAAATAAAAGTAATGTCAAAAGAAAAGGGCCATCCTACTTTTGTCATTTGAATATTAGCAGTTTATACAGGGTGCTTCAGAAAAATGTGGCAATGTTTTTGGGGTAGAAAGTACAACTAAAAGTAACAAAAAAGTTCAAATAAATGTGGGTTCAAAGATGCTCCCCTGCCGAGATACAGGGTGATTAAGTTTTATTTACGGAGCGGGTGAAGATACTGCGTTAGGATTTTAGACGTTCAGTAAGCACATCATCAGCAATAAATCCACAGAGTTTCTAGCGCAAACTAAAGCAGAGGCGTAGAAACTGGGGTATCTGGACACCTAATTGAAAATATTTTCTACGCCATTTACCTTTTCAGAGAAAACGTGCATTTTATAAAATACCATTCTATTTTCTGTAAATTCTGTCTCTTGAAAAATTGTTGTCAGATCTTTCGTATTGGAGATATTTTGGTTTGAATATTTTAGGTACAATCCTAAATTATTTTATGAAAGGGTTTAACCCTCACTATTCTGAAAACACCGTGAAGTGATATTGGAAACACTATAAGGCATCTGAAGAAAGCTTTGGCACCTCATTACAACGTTAATTGGATAATATGCGCGTCTTATCCTCAATCAGTAGCGTAGAAAATTTTAGTAAAAATGATTATTATTCTACTTCACAAATTATCGGCCTTTTTTTCTCAAAATTCTTTAGCATTTGGGATGACGACGAAGTATATAAAAAAGCTTTCAACACTGTTTGTACTACGCCAGGTATTTTCCAGAGTCAGAGAGTTTTTGTGAGAAGAACACGGACTGCTATTGAATCCAGGGTTGGTCACTTTCCACACCTCCTCCTGGTTGTTATGGTATAGCATTTTTTCAGGATTATTTTTTCTTCCCACATGTCCACGTAAATTTAGAAATAACCACGTGAGCTGTATCAAATGTAATGTGTATTGTTGTCATGTTTAATTCTTTAGCCTTATTTAATATTCTTGAAATAAACGTTTCTTTTGCTTCAAGAATTTAAAAAACGTAGGATCAATTTAGGAGTCTCACCGGTAACACGCCTATAATATCGAACTGAATACAGCAATATTTTTTTTATTGCTTTAAGTCTCTTCTCGCATGCTGAATTAACACAGACTCAGACAAGACCCAGCATGTGTTGTTGCTTTATGGCATAACTTTATATGCACTGATTTGAGAAAAAGAACACTAGTCTAATGACGGAACAATACAAGGTGACTTTGGAGTGAGTAGCAGGACGTAAAGGTAACGAAGAACAAGAAGGTGAACAAGCTTCTCAGAAAGTAGGTCATCTATTCCAATTACAGGTTAGTAACAAAGTACCTTGGTTACAGTTTATAAAACTTTTTTGGAAGCTCGTTGTTACGTAAAAGTTGTAAATACCCCTTTGTCATTTGTCAGAATTTTTTGAAATGCGGCTGGAGAAGGTGTATCGCTGAAAATTTAGATTCAACTAAGAAGAAAATGGGTCATGGGTCATTCAGACCCAAACCACCCAATACAAAAATTTAGTGGATTTATATGTAGCGACAAGCGTAAATGCCAGGGCACCGCGGCAGATATGAGGATCTCAAAGAAACTTTGTTAATCGAATTTTTGAACTGCCTAAGGATAGTAGTACTGGGAAAAGCCTCCCCTTGTAGATTATTCCACAATCTCGATACCCTAGGGGCAAAGAAGCGGTCATATCGGCCAGGTCTGGAGGTACGAAGTTCGACAGCTCTGAGGCCCGTGTCAGACATAAAGGCGTCCTTCAATAAATTGCAGGTACGACTGACGATACGACGCTTAGTCCTCGGTGATATGGACACCAACCAGCCGAAATGAACGGCTCTTTGTATAACCGTAACATGTTTTGGAGGTGGTAAGAACACAATAAGAAAACGTTTAAGAGGGAGTAAGACAACCGAACAAGGAAGTTTGGAACCTTGAATTTGGAAACATGCAGGGAAAATAATGTCTTTGGAACACGCTTGAATATGGAAGTGAAATTACTTTTATCAAGCAGAAATCAACGTTCTGGAGTTCCAGGATTTCTAACAGAAAACAGTAGCCTGAAGAGAAACAAGCTCAAGGCCATGCGTAGACCTTTGGACTAGGTTAGAACCAATAGTATTTCATACTGTAATTGATATAGAATTCAAAACCGCTAGATTGGGTACTGTAAATTATAAAAAGTGACATAGCCTTAAATATTGAAAAGTCAACTGTTATATGAAGCTTAAAGACACCTTGTTAATTCGCTTTTTGAAGTACCTAGAATAGGGAAAACCTCCTCAGATTTTTTCACAATCCCGACAACCTAGGAACAAAGGATATACGAAGTTTGACGAAGTTAGGATGAGAGGCCGAAGTCAGTGCGGCAGCACACCAAAAATGTTCTATGCTGGGTGTGTTCCTAGAAAATGGTGAGGGGATTATGTAGAGAAAGTACTGCTTGAGTTCCAAATAAATATCCCAGCTGTTCCAGGTCCTAGATTAGTCGCGGTGCTTTATTGTGTTTTGTATCATGAAATTGTACTACTGCTTTCTCAATCAGCGATAACTTCTATCGGCTTGACACTCTCAATGCCTGCGTGTAAAGTGCTATCATCACCAAAGCTGAGAATTGGACTGATCGTACAATATAAAAAATCGTTTTTAAAAAACTACTCACCAATTTCGCTTTAGATGTAATCAGTTGAACCTCCTGACTTCCACAACATAAACTGGATCACCATCACTAGAACCTCAAACCACTCGCGCGATCACTATCCCTCCTCACTTCAACCACGCACTTCTCAAGTCGCAACATCACTGACCGTCCCCGTCTGGATAATTTCTGGATCCTCACGTGCACCAAACCACGCCTACTTCGATGCAAATCTCTTTCAAAACAGCTCTATATCATCCGTTCCTGATTTACAACCGTCTCTGTGGATTTTGCCGGTTCCCCGGGGATCTCCGGGATCAAAAGCGTTAACGCGCAACGGCGACTCAGCGATAGGCCGCGCCTCCTTGACGCCGCTCAACCAATCACAGCGAGGAACGCCTATTAGATTAAGGAGCTGATAGCCAGATATTTTTGTGGGGGTTTTGTAGGACGGATTCATCTAGTATGCGTTGGATTTTGATGGACACAAATAGATATGCAGTACCTTTTGGTACAATACCATAGGGTTTAGATCAAATTTTTTAATTACAATCTGTCTTGAAAGTAACACACCGTTATAGATGTTGCTTATTGTTGTGTTAAATAAAGGATGTCTATTAGACTCATCTCTAAAAACACATGACATAATCAAACATTTAATAATATGAACAACCTATTATAATAATAACAACTTACTTAACAACTACTGACAAACAACATGAACAAAACTGAAGCAAGCAAGATTGAGAAATAGCAAAGCCTAGCAATCGAAATAAAGAACACTTGGAAACGATCACAAGTCATATCAGTAGTAGTCTCTGTGGAAGGGGCAGTTTCTAAGGATCTCCAATCATATCTGGAAAGGATTGATATCCCACCGCATTTAATTGCATTAACTCAGAAAGCAGCAATATTGCAAACATGTTATATAGTGCGCAAGTTTTTCGCAATTGACAGGTGGATTCCCAGAACGAATAAAATAATAATAATAATGATAGTAATAATAATGATAATAATCATAGAGAGATATCACCTTGTGGAAGAAAAAGGCAGGCTAGGTCCTGCTCATTGACATAACGGTAAATAATGACACAAACATGGGAAAAACTTTTACACAGAAGATCAAGAAGTATATCGATCTTTATTATGGATTTATTAAAATACATATGGAGAGAAGATAGTCATCTCCAATATCGGAACTATACCGCGAAACCTATTCAAATACTTTGAAGAGCTAGAACTGGAATATTAAATTTAGCAACAAATGCAGACAGCAGTAATTCTGAACACATGCGTAGATTTCTACACCCAGAATAAATATCACTTTCCAGAAATGGTAACTTCCCTGGAATAAAAAGATATTCGCTTGATATCATCGAACCAAAATATACGAGCGTAAAAAAGCTTTGGAAAAAGTGAATAATAATAATAATAATAGTAACAATTTTATATCCAACAAGCAGATACATCTGATTGCAGGAAATGCTAATAAATATCAATAATACTCTGTAAACAAGTACAAAGATGAGAATAACAAATTATAAGTAAATAATCAACAATAATATACGACCTTACAACTTCATCAAGGATGACGAGAGACTTAGTGTCATTAAATATACTAAGTGACATATAAATCCGAATACCCAGTTTAAATGGTTTTATTTTAATAAAATTTGGTGAATGTATTTATCTTACTGTAAATAACAAGTGAAAAAATTTTCAGCCTTATCAGTTGGACATTCCGGTTTTTATACTGCTTTTTTTTAATTCACTAACGCTCTGAAATTGAATATTTCAGCCGCAGTAAAGAATCAACGTTGGCGGATTTTGGTTCTTGACATCCTTTACGATCGGTTACGATGCCTAGAGTACGGAGACCTGTACGATTTCGTCAACTTAGTGAGTTTGATAGGGGCCGTATAGTGGGACTTCGGGAAGCTGGACTTTCTTTTCGGGCAATTGCAGTTAGAGTGCAAAGAAGTGTAGACACTGTGGTTAGGTGTTGTCAGGCATAGCTTCCAGATGGCCGTACGCAAAGAGCAAGGGGCACTGGACGCCGCCGTAGAACAACAGACCGTGAAGATCGCCGCCTAAGATTATTGGCCTTAAGGGACCGTTTCTCCACTACCAGGCCCATTGCAAATGAATGGTTTGCAGAACACGGAAGACTTATTGGCATGCAAAGTGTTTACCGACGAATGAGAAGTTTTGGCTTGTTTTCATACCGGCCACACTGGGTCCTCCCTTTAACTCGAGAACACCGACGTAATCGTCTTGAGTGGTGCAGACAACGGTCACTCTGGGATCAGGAATGGAACAGTATTGTCTTTAGTGACGAGTCTCGATTTTGTTTACGCATGCACGATGGTCGTGCCAGGGTTAGAAGGTGACGTGGTGAAAGGAGGAATCCACAGTTTTTTGTTGAAAGACATGTTCATCACACTGTTGGAGTTATGGTTTGGGGTGCTATAGCTTATGGTTCCAGGTCACCTTTAATCTTCATCAGAGGTAACATGAACGCGCAGCGTTATATCCACGAAGTTCTAGAACCCCATCTTTTACCGTATCTTGACACCTTGGCAGATCCAACTTTCCAACAAGATAATGCCCGACCACATGTTGCAAAAGTCACAATAGACTTCTTTCAACATAATTATGTCACATTGTTACCATGGCCACCAAGATCTCCCGACTTATCAGTAATTGAGCACGTGTGGGATATGATGCGTAGGAGATTGCTCAATTTGCAACGTCCTCCTCAGACTCTAGAAGCACTTCGAGAGGAGTTGGTGGTTACCTGGAATGAGATACCACAGGAGGACATTGACCACCTGATCAGAAGCATGCCTAGGCGCGTTGGAGAATGCGTAGCACATCAGGGTGCATCCACACATTATTAAAGGTCAAAGGGCTTTAAAGCAGTGCAATCATTTTGAAATTTTTATCATTTACTTATTATGCTTCATTAAGTACTTATACAAAATTTTATTAAAATAAAACCATTTAAACTGGGTGTTCGGATTTATATGTCACTTAGTATATATAGCAGTTACTAGTACTATTAAACGGCAGACTTGGATAAAATATTGGTGTGGCAGAAATCAGAGTAAAATGGGCTGATAATATGAAATCAGAGACACAAAATTCGAAGAAGGTCTACAAACATAACCTCCCCATTCTGTACAAAGCCCATATAATACCTAGCCTCGACCACTTCTTACTATTTTGGGGTGCTGCTGCATCGACTACATTGTCGATATTAGACTTCTCTAACGGACTTTCTCGGGACCCTTTCGCAACAAGCTTTGCTCTTCAGAGCTCTCCTCCATGACATGCGCGTTGAATCTGCCAAACGCATCCGTCAGGCTTCTGCCTCCCATTTCAACTCTGTCGAGCTTCGTACAACTAGTACTGGTCGGTACGATTACTCCTTTCTTCCTGGGCATTGAGATTATGGCACAATCAACCTGAGGAGGTTTTTCTCAATTCTGCTCACCTTAGACAGTCAAAAAATCTGTATTACGCCTCTTATAGCAGTCTGTCAAATTCGGATGTTCGATAAACAGGTTGACCACGGGCCACTTACAATACGATATTGTTGTTACTAGGCGTGTTAAGTTCAGTGGACGATTAAGGAAAAAATTTACTCCCAACAGTCGCGCTAGTAACTTATCGTAAATGTTCTGAGCTTAATAATAATAGTAATAATAATAATAACAATTATAATACATTTATTTTATTGTTAAATAGCCGCAGAATATAACAAATCAAAGGTCAAAAGGAAATATACATGAAAAAACAATATAATACAGTTTAAACAAAAACAGTTTAATATGCGAACACTTCAACTGATTTTTGAAACCTATTAATGTCGGTGCTTTTTGAATATCTTCTTTCATATTATGATATATTTTGCAGCCCATATAACTCAAAGGTTTCTGATATGCTGCAGTACGATGTTGAGGGGTACGAGCAAATATTTAGATCGAGTTTGATAATCCTGTCCTTGTTTGTTAATGAAGAGGTTCAATTCAGTTTCATGTACAAATATTAAATTCATAGACCATAAATACTTTTCCGTAATTTATGACACAGCGATTAGATATGTGACTCCCATGTTATATTATAATCAATGTCTTTTAAGTTTTGCATATAGAAACATAGTAGGCCGCGCGGATCGAACGTCAGTACTGAATCTTTGGTAAACCTAAATTCAAAGTTTCACAACAATACGTGCAGTGTTCTCACTACAGTGAATTTTTAAGTGTCACCAAGTCATTAGAAAAATGGAACTCAACTAAGAACATTTTCGCGCCATAATTTATTACAACTTTCAGAGAAAATTATGGCAACAAGAATGCCTTGCTGAGTTACTGTCTGTTTTCGGCAACGAAGCGCCACATCAGTCGACAATTGCCCGTTGGTATGGAGAATTCAAACGTGGACGGGTGAGTCTTAGCGACGATCCCAGGGTGGGTGCACCAAAAACGGCAGTCACCCAGGAAAACGTCGATGCTGAACAGTCGGCTGTTTGGGTGTTCCAAGGTGAAGAAAAGCCAACAAAAGTCATCCGTTCTCGAAATGTTTCGAAAAAGATGGTCGCGACATTTGTGTCAAAAGCGGGTCATATTGCAACAATTCCTGTTAATGAGCAAAAAACTGTTACTGCGGATTGGTATACCACCATTTGTTTGCCAAAAGTCATCACCGAGCTTCAAAAAATCAACCCCGAAAGAAGAATCATCCTCCACCAAGACAATGCAAGCTCGCACACAGCCCAAAAAACAAGGCAGTATTTAACGGAAGAAAACGTGGAATTATTGGACCATCCTCCATATAGTCCCGATCTAAGTCCTAACGATTTCTTTACTTTCCCGAAAATTAAAAACAGACTGCGTGGTCTAAGGTTCTACTCACCAGAAGAAGCAGTTGACGCATTCAAAAATGCCGTTTTTGATCTGCCAGCAAACGAGTGGAATAAGCAGATGTGTATTATTCTTCGTGGAAAATACTTCGAAAAACAATAAAGTCATTTAAAACTACCTACCATGTTGTTTCCATATGCAAAACTTAAAAGACATCCCTCGTATTAAGCATACCGAAATTCCGGTTCTCTTAGTGAACATTTCATCAATTGGGTCTTATCTGTGTTTAAGAAGGTCTGTAAAATAAGTTATGATCTGGCAACACTGGAGGCTCCGGTGTTGGAGGGTAGATAGGGGAACATGTGGTCCTCCTTCAGTACATGTTGGAACTCGTCAAATTGTCAACAGGCCAGGGTTTTCGGTGGCTTAAGGAGTTTTCAGAAGGGAAAGGATCTATTGAA